TGAGAGTACAACAGTATGAATTAGTATTATAATCACATTAGTCCATTTAAAAATGGTGACAGAGAATTTCATTGAATCAAAACCAACAATATGAACAGAGAGAGAGAGAGAGAGAGAGAGACTCGTATGGACTATAGAAAGCTATCAAACGTTAACAAATAAAAATTAAGCTTTTTGAATTGCTTAACTGATGGAAATTACAGTAAGAAACTAGAAAGCAAGTTCAATGAAATTCTTACCAAGTGAAGGTTGAAGGCTGAGAAAGAGCGGCAATTGCAGTAAGAGCGACAACAAACGGAAGCATTGCCGACAAAATTTGCGAGGAATCAGTCTTCACAGTGACTTCTTGCGATACGCCATTAGGGTTTACGCCAAAGGACAAGAACGTAAAGTTACCTTCTCTTCTGTGCAATCCCACTTTACCAATAAACGGCGACGAAGTTGAGCACATCAGCGACGATAATGACCCGCCATTAGAACTCTTCGAACGTTTGGCATTTGGAGCGAAAATAGGCCTCTTGAGACTAAAAGAAAGAGACTTGAAGTTTGGGTATGAAGTGGAAGTTGAATTGGAGAGGAAGAGAATTGGTTTGGAGGTGCTTGGGTGGGGTATGAGGGGTGGCTTGAGAGAGAGAAACGGAATCGATGTCATTGTTAGAGAGAGAATTTGGGTTTTGGATATGAGAGAAGATAGGCTTTTAGTGACTTGAGTGAGCTCGCCGGGAAGGGGTTGGGTTTCCGGCGAGAAGACGAAGAAGAAGAGGGCGAGTGTGTGGAAGAGATGAGGCGATAAAGAGAAGTTTTTTTTTATTNGGAAGGGGTTGGGTTTCCGGCGAGAAGACGAAGAAGAAGAGGGCGAGTGTGTGGACGAGATGAGGCGATAAAGAGAAGTTTTTTTTTATTCAATTGTTAAGTTGTGAATGCGAGAGAGAGAGTAACTTGCCAGCAGGCAACCACAAATTTTTACTTAAAAAATTAGGATCGACAATCACAATCATCAATCATTGATTTTACTAGACTCGATAATTTTAATTATTAATTTTATTGTAATTTTTAATATTTATTAGAACTAATTAGATTTAATAATTTCAATTATTGATTTTACTGTAAGTTCCAATATTTATTGGGACCAACTACCTATTCAATGGTCGACATTTTTAAATTTATATAACATTAGTCATTATATTTTGTTTAGGTAAAATTACACTTTAATCCCTAAACCATGAACTTCATTTCACTTTGCCTATCAAACAATTGAGTTTTTCGCATTATTCCCTCAACTACCTGAATTATTTCATACTATCCCAATAGCAAATGTCCCTTATTTTTTTAGACAAAAACTCTCACTATGTCGGGACAAACTGAAAAGTATTANAATTATTTCATACTATCCCAATAGCAAATGTCCCTTATTTTTTTAGACAAAAACTCTCACTATGTCGGGACAAACTGAAAAGTATTACATAGTTCGAAGGCAAATTGAAATAACTTTCTATTAAATTTATAATGGACCTTATTTATTAGGGAGATTTAAAATTAATCAGATAGTTAAGGATGCAATATTAAAATATCATAGTTGATGGAAAATATGAAAAATGATTATAATTAAGGGGATCAAAATGTAATTCAACCTTTTATTTATTTCGAAGGAAATTCAAGGTAAAAAAGGATAATCCCGCTGATGTGAGGTTTAAGTCTGGTGAACAAACTTTTCACTACCGAACCGGTTTTTCATAGACTGGTTGGTTACCGGTGACTTTAAGGTTGATTCATATTGTGAGCAAGGGCTTCTTCATCATTAATTTAAAATTACACATAGATCTTAAAATTATGATTTTTATATCAATTAAGTTTATAATTTTTTTTGTCAATTAAGCATCTAAACTCGTTAATTATAATAATTGAGCTATTCTATTTGCATCCATTAAATTTTTTAACGAAATATGTCACTCACGTGATCGGATTACACACACTTAGCCATTTTTTGTTAGAAAATGTAATAGATGTAGACATAAAGGGGTCAATTACTACGATTGACGAGTTCAGAGGTTTAATTGACAAATATATATATATTTATATATATAGTTTAAAAGTCATATGTAGTTTACTCAAAAAAATACATAACTAGTGTATACACTAGTTATTCGGGTGGTGCGTTTGATCATTAAAATCTTATTCGACTTTTAAGAAATGAAATCATCAATCTATACTTCAATTTGTTCATCGTTTCAAATCCGACCTATTTGAGCCATCATTTTCGACCAATATGTGGAGGCATTAACGAGAGGCTAAATAAATGCTCAACTATAAAGTAGTTATTTGTCACAGGTGAGGTGAGAAAACCTTATGAAAAAAAGGTGAGGCTAGGATGTCGNAAAGTAGTTATTTGTCACAGGTGAGGTGAGAAAACCTTATGAAAAAAAGGTGAGGCTAGGATGTCGGGTGTCCATGGGTCCTGTTATTCGGCCAAAAAAATAGTAGACCCGACGCTTGATTAGTCTGATAGTTGGTCTGCCTAAACCCAATGTTCTTAAAAAGAGGGCTTGGATTTATCCCAAACCCATTATCCGACCCAAGAGCCCCCCATCAAGCCCGCCTAGCCAAGCCCACTCTTCCTTTGAAAATAAGTTATACTTTTAGATCATTAAATTTGAAACTTTGAAATAAATCTTCTAATATCGAAATTTGAAGTTTTAAAATTTTAAATATTATAAATAATATATTATTTTTTTCCATGTATTAAGCATATAAATTTTAAATGGTAGAGTAATACAAATGACAGATAAATTAGTAAGTGTCAACTTAGTTGGAATTTATTCATTCTATTAGATGTAATTTATTATTTTATTTTTATCTATTTTGACTTTACTTTTGATTTAAAAGTATAATTTATACAAATATTAAGTTACAAAAATATTTAATATTTTTAAATAAAAATATGTATAAAAAAACTCGCAAGCAGACTCGCCCAGCAAACCTGTCCATAGGCGTGCTCAATAGGTTCACGGATTGGACTAGGGACAACTTACCCCTATCCAAAACTCAGCCCAACCTGAAAATAATTTTGTTGCCAACCCCGGCCCTGCCCATGAAGGATGATAACAATCCCAACAAATATTTAATAACAAGAAGGCAAGATTAAGTCTATCAAGACACGAGAATTATTACACTTGTCAACCCCCAAATTTCAAGCGTGACCGTTGTTGCCTTCTAGGGTAGGATGATAACAATCCCAACAAAGATTTAATAACAAGATGGCAAGATTAAGTCCATCAAGGCACGAGAATTATTACACTTATCACCCCCTAAATTCGAGCCCATGACTGTTGGTTGACTTCTAAAAACTTTTCACATGTGACACCCAAATGTAAAGGTCTGGCCATTAAATGGAAATCANACACGAGAATTATTACACTTATCACCCCCTAAATTCGAGCCCGTGACTGTTGGTTGACTTCCAAAAACTTTTCACATGTGACACCCAAATGTAAAGGTCTGGCCATTAAATGGAAATCAACAATGCATGGAGGCTGCTGGTGATAGTTTCTGTAATTCTGTTCAAATTCCGAAATAGTTCACTCCGCGTTAATCTTTTCGACATGTTACACGTGAATTTACTCAAAATAACAAGTCACTTCACATTGCTCTAATGTTCAATATACTTATTTACTTTATCGTCATTTGTCATGATGACTACCACCTTAGTGGCAAATATAGTTGTTTTCGGGTCAAAAATCAGTACACCCACGAATTTTNAGTCATATGTCATGATGACTACAACCTTAGTGGCAAATATAGTTGTTTTCGGGTCAAAAATCAGTACACCCACGAATTTTCAAAAATCATGTATTTGTTCACGAGCCATGTGCATCGGTTCAATCAAAACTTTACTCGCACGATTCAACTTTTCAATCTTGAAATATCTATTACTAAAAACTTCATCATATTAATGAAAAAGAAACCCGAATAAATGTATATTTATTGGGACCTGGCATTATTTTCTGATACCGACTTTGATATTTTTGAGTCTGTGTTGGTCCACTTGCCCTTGGTGTTTGCCCTCGAGGCATATTCTTTGATACCAAAAAAATAAAAAAAAATCATAGCTTTAATTAGATTTTCTCCCAATCTCATGCAATTAAACACAAGGGTCTTCCATCAAGTTCTACAATANTTTATTGGGACCTGGCATTATTTTCTGATACCGACTTTGATATTTTTGAGTCTGTGTTGGTCCCCTTGCCCTTGGTGTTTGCCCTCGAGGCATATTCTTTGATACCAAAAAAATAAAAAAAAATCATAGCTTTAATTAAATTTTCTCCCAATCTCATGCAATTAAACACAAGGGTCTTCCATCAAGTTCTACAATATGTTTTTGTGGTTGCTTTTGGCAACTAGCAACTATTCAAATCACGTGTACTATAAACTAATGATTATGCATANTATGTTTTTGTGGTTGCTTTTGGCAACTAGCAACTATTCAAATCACGTGTACTATAAACTAATGATTATGCATATTGTAAATGCATAAGTTCATCTATAAATCACGGATCTCGAGTATGTCGAAAACCTGAACTTGAAACCTCAAGATAGTACATCCTTTAAGACTTCGCATTCGAGCTACCCAAAGGATATATGAGGAGATGTGTGGCTGTATAACCACCGTTGGGTCTGTGCTCCAGCTGAGCCACCAGCTTTCTAGGATGGTGAAAAGCATGAAACATCAAACTGATGTTGATATTCAAAAACTTAGTAAAAAGACAAGCACTTGCCTCTAATCTCTTAAATACTAAGAGACATGGTATGACTTCTACTAGGGTCAACAAAACTTATGCTTGAAAATGCAGATTTATTAAACTTATAATTTAAGATTTAGTTGTTTGAAAGTTATGGGAGGCATCGTTATCGGGTAAATACCGTATAGACAAGAGGCGTTCAAATTCATTTTTTCATTGCAGATATGGTTGCAGAGCTGGTGTATGCATATATATACTTGGCGAATGACACTTCTACGTCTCCACAATTCTAGAATGTATCAAGAAATTCGACTCGTAGTGGTCATCATAGTGGTTTCTTCTAATCCTATACGTCCAAAAAACACCTGCTACAGAACTATCTAAAGGTCAAAATTACGATGCTAGATAGATAATGTTGAGTGTGACCAGAAAACCAAAAACAAGACAATGCCAGTGCAGCCTGTGATTGAATGATAGATTAATCAGCACCTTTNAAAGGTCAAAATTACGATGCTAGATAGATAATGTTGAGTGTGACCAGAAAACCAAACACAAGACAATGCCAGTGCAGCCTGTGATTGAATGATAGATTAATCAGCACCTTTCCAAAATGTTAGTTACAGTACATCTTTCCAAAATGTTATATAAAACTAATAGGAATCTAGTGGTAACTGATAGAAGTTGGAATCACATTGTAATTGTCGATACCAACATAAAGAACCAAAAAAAAAAAAAACTGGTAACCAGGGGGGGAAAAAAACTAACAGAAAATCAGATGTGTAAGTAGTTTTCCTATTAAAAATTCAAGTTTCACTATTTTTAGTCCATGTGCTCCACTTACAAACAACCTGTCAACACAATATAAGTATAGTCCCTGTCCCCCCAAAAACATAGTGAAGAAGTGATGAGAGAAGAGACAAGGCCACATGCATCAGTAGTAATTGTTAAAAGTGTAGCCTAATACCAGATTTAAACTGAAAACAAAATTAGTAGACAGCAGAGATGCTGAATGAAAGCCAAGAGAAAAAGAAAGGATTATGGCAGTAAATAACAAATGAAGAACTTATCGGACCAATAAGTAGATTAGGGAATAAGAGATGGAAAATCAAAGAAAGAAAGCCATTTTATTTCTTATTTCTTCCATCATGGAAGTATGTATATCTCATCAACTAACATTTATACTACTTTCCGGAAAGAAAAAAAAAACATTTACACTACAAAGAGAAAAACGATACAACCACCATTCTTATGAACATATTCGTAATGAATTCAATACAAAAAAACAAACTCTTGCAGATTTATCACCTGATCACCTTGACCTGATGCACCCGTATGCTTATGTCCCTGTGTCCTTCTAAGCATTTCTAAGACCCCGATGAGTTCGTATTGTCTCATGTTTACCTTCTTCAAAGTTCAATTCACAGGTAATTTTTGCATAACAGGAGCTGGTATGATGAGGAGTTGGCAGACTCAGCACTATACAAGAAACCGCAAGCAAGCACACTGGAATGACGCATAGGATCTGCTATACATACAATGAATGGAACCCCTGACATGATTAAGCTATCGTGCAGCCTGAATCATTATATTTCAACTCAACAATTCACAAAATAGCTCTTGCAAATGCTTTCTGATTAACACGGTATCAGAGCTGACTCTGCAGATAGAGAAGCAAAATATATTAGTCCCAATTGTATAGATACATGGCAACATTCAACTGGTGAGTGATATAAGGGTCACAGTCAATCAATAGTATAATGGAATATCACACAGCAGAAGCAAAAATCAATAGAATCGAATGGATCATCATCAGTTCTTGAAATCGTGCAACCCACAACCAATACAAGAAGTTCCAAAATCTATAACCAACACCCAGAACCCACTCCCAAAAATACAGAGAAATATCAAACTTAATAAGGAAAATTCTCATTCTTTGAAATTCCAGTTCCAAATCGAAAGTCCTAAATTTACATATGAAACAATCATACCAAAGATTTAATTTTTGATCGATTAACTGATGCATCAACATCACGCATTACAAAATCACCGGCCTATAACTTTATAAAGAGACACTAATGAGCTTCTCATTAATTATCTCATCAAGATCAATTTACTTTTTCAAACTAAAAATAGCTTCAATACCCAACAAGCATACCCAAAAATCTTCAAGCACAAAACAGTAAATTAAGAAATGAAAGAAAGAAGAAAGACCTTAGACACCATTTTATCCATGAGCTCCCAGCTTTCAGGATCATTCAGCTGAACAGCCGTACAATCCCGTGGCGTTTCAAACGAAGAGAGAGAAAATTGCTTGGAAACAACACCAACATCGAAGTAAATCAACCCAGAAGGCGGTATGTCAACCCGAATTTCCTTCACAGGGAACCACAGAAACAAATCTTGCGCAGATAAACCGGACAGCCCACCGATCTGCCCATAAGTCAAAGTACCCGAAACATTTCTATCGTAGTGTAATTCATTCTCAAACTTCGCATTGCAAGCTTGATCCAAATAGACCTCGAATCTTCCAGAGTCGTCCAAAGTGAAGTTTTTCACACCCTTTGGGAGCAATCCCATTGGAAGCCCATTGGATTGGAGAACATCATATATCGATGACTCCTCAGATTTTGAAACCCAGAAATTTGTTGAAAAAGAACAAAAAAGAAGAGAAAGTACTATAAAGTATTGAGGAAGCATTTTGTTGGGTTGTGTTAGAGCATAGGAAGAATTTTCGTATGAGGGTATGGGCGACAGAGGGTCGTTGAGGGTGTTATAGGTGTCAGTGTTTGATATAGAGAGAGTTATGGTTAGGGTTTAAGGGGGGTGGAGGAGAGAGAAAGCGGCAGAGAAGTGGAGAGATTGAAGTTGAGAGTTGAGGTGTGGAGAAGTAGAAAGGGGCAGTGTTGCCAGGTGAAATACAGAGAGGATCAGGAGAATGATGAATTATTGGTGGTGAGATCAGGGCCTTAGGCTAAGGTTTCTATTCTCTACGGTCGAGTCTACGTGTCTCTTGAGCATTAACCACTACTTGTTGAAACATGTGTGAGTTGGTGAAGGATATAGTTGTAATTTGGTATCGGGGTTGTAGACCATCTCTCGGCACATGTTGGACTATGCTTGATTGGAATAGACTTCTACACAATTCAAAACAAAATTTACTTTGTTTGAGGGGAATGGCTAAAATATCGAAGGAGGTAGGTACCAAAATTTATAACTATTTAAGGTTAAAGTTGTAATTTTTTTGATGCGTAAGTTATAAGTTTTAAAGATCATGATCGATCATAATATATTGAAATTGATAATAAAATTATAATTTTTAAATGTCAAATTACAACTCATAAAAAAGAAGTTATAACTGTTTACGGAAAGTCCATGATCGATTATATGTATCTGTGATTGATCATGATTCTTTTAATTGATCATGAACTTCCTCTGAACAGTTGTAATTTTTCTCTTTTGTGTTATAATTTTATCATAAAAATTATTAGTGACGGTACGATACTGTAGACATTCCCTGTTTGAGAGNTATGTATCTGTGATTGATCATGATTCTTTTAATTGATCATGAACTTCCTCTGAACAATTGTAACTTTTTTTTTTTTGTGTTATAATTTTATCATAAAAATTATTAGTGGTGGTACAATACTATAGACATTCCCTTGTTTGAGGGAGGTGAATTTAGATTAATTGAATTTTAATCCGCTATAACTTAGACATGATAGGATCCATTAAGAGCCCTAAATTAAATATGAATACTATTGAAATTTAATTTATTAATTTAATTTATTATAACTTTTGAATTAACTGTGAAACTCATCAAACATTGAAATTTGATGTTAATCTAATGGTTTCAATGAAGTCAGTAAATTAGGTCAAATTTTTAAATTTANAAGAGCCCTAAATTAAATATGAATACTATTGAAATTTAATTTATTAATTTAATTTACTATAACTTTTGAATTAACTGTGAAACTCATCAAACATTGAAATTTGATGTTAATCTAATGATTTCAATGAAGTCAGTAAATTAGGTCAAATTTTTAAATTTAAATAGCATTAGTGTAAATTAAAAAGGTTTAGTTGAGGTCATTACCAAAGTACTTATGGTGGATTTATTATTTTATGAAAATATTCAACATCCATTCGAGATTGTGATAAGTTGTAAAAAAAAAAAAAAAAAAATTATGCTCTACTCATCGTCCTTGAATCTGCAAGAGGTGGGGATAGGTGGGGCTGTTGAAATGCATGAGCAATAAGTGGGGAGAGAGAGACATAGAGGAGAGAGAAAATTTTGTTAGAGAGAAGGGGGAAATTTTTTGCTTGGACATATGGATCCAAAGAATGGTTGTCATAAGCTAGCCCTTGGTGCTGGAAAAAGTTAGAATAATCCAAGAATGAGATATATGGTTGTTGATAAATGTAGANCATAGAGGAGAGAGAAAATTTTGTTAGAGAGAAGGGGGAAATTTTTTGCTTGGACAAATGGATCCAAAGAATGGTTGTCATAAGCTAGCCTTTGGTGCTGGAAAAAGTTAGAATAATCCAAGAATGAGATATATGGTTGTTGATAAATGTAGAGAGAGAGAGAGAGAGCGAGAGAGAGAAGCATGTGAATGTGGTTAAGGGTGAGGCTGGCATGGGGATAAATTATGATTTTGTCTCGGCATAAATATAGTTAAACCCTTCCCCTGCCTTGTCTTAGTTTGGAACTTAAGACAGGTCACATGCTGCTTTGATAAAATGATTGTTACTAGAGTTGTGAATTTTGGCATGGCAAGCATATGTTCATGNATGTGAATGTGGTTAAGGGTGAGGCTGGCATGGGGATAAATTATGATTTTGTCTCGACATAAATATAGTTAAACCTTTCCCCTGCCTTGTCTTAGTTTGGAACTTAAGACAGATCACATGCTGCTTTGATAAAATGATTGTTACTAGAATTGTGAATTTTGGCATGGCAAGCATATGTTCATGGATCATTTTTGGGTAGAGTTGATAATAGAATCGAGTTCGTGTTTTTAAACGAGTTAAAAAAATTGTTTAAGTTCGGCTATTTTAAAAAGTGAGCCGAGGCCGAGTAGCTCGACTACTTTACATTTAAACAAGTCGAATTTTTTAGGCTCGTTTTCTGAACGAGACTAAAAAATTGTTCAAACTTAATTTGTCGATTTTGAGTAGNGAATTTTGGCATGGCAAGCATATGTTCATGGATCATTTTTGGGTAGAGTTGATAATAGAATCGAGTTCGTGTTTTTAAACGAGTTAAAAAAATTGTTTAAGTTCGGCTATTTTAAAAAGTGAGCCGAGGCCGAGTAGCTCGACTACTTTACATTTAAACAAGTCGAATTTTTTAGGCTCGTTTTCTGAACGAGACTAAAAAATTGTTCAAGCTTAACTTGTCGAGTTTGAGTCGAGTCTTATTTGAGTCAAACCCGAATAGTTCGAGTCAATTATCAGCCCTATCTTTGAGACTTTGTAATCTCGATTTTGGACCCGCCCTAATGCACTTTCTCTTTAATTTTCTTCGATAACAGACCATCTATTGTGAATTTAAACAAAATTAGTTATACTTTAAGCGNCGAGACTAAAAAATTGTTCAAACTTAATTTGTCGATTTTGAGTAGAGTCTTATTTGAGTCAAACCCGAATAGTTCGAGTCAATTATCAGCCCTATCTTTGAGACTTTGTAATCTCGATTTTGGACCCGCCCTAATGCACTTTCTTTAATTTTCTTCGATAATAGACCATCTATTGTGAATTTAAACAAAATTAATTATACTTTAAGTGGGTCTCACTCTAATACATAACATGTGATCAATCTCTAAAGAGACCAAACAAGGAAAAAAAAATACTTGACCAAAATAGGCATCCCGTAATCACACACACATATATATATATAAATCACCTTGCAAACCTTAACGCAGTGGAGTCGAACTGTTGAAGTCAATTATGAGAATAGGAAACGTATGGAGCTGTGCAATTATCACTTATTNGGGTCTCACTCTAATACATAACATGTGATCAATCTCTAAAGAGACCAAACAAGGAAAAAAAAATACTTGACCAAAATAGGCATCCCGTAATCACACACACACACACATATATATATATATAAATCACCTTGCAAACCTTAACGCAGTGGAGTCGAACTGTTGAAGTCAATTATGAGAATAGGAAACGTATGGAGCTGTGCAATTATCACTTATTAATGTTATTGTTTGTTATTTCCATCACCTGCCTAACTACTTACGTTTCCCCCAACCCTATTAATCAAGTTTTATTGCACTACTAGCAGCATGTTNTCACCTTGCAAACCTTAACGCAGTGGAGTTGAACTGTTGAAGTCAATTATGAGAATAGGAAACGTATGGAGCTGTGCAATTATCACTTATTAATGTTATTGTTTGTTATTTCCATCACCTCCCTAACTACTTACGTTTCCCCCAACCCTATTAATCAAGTTTTATTGCACTACTAGCAGCATGTTAACGAAAGCCATAATGAGACATAATCCATGTGTTCGGTAATGTGCGCGCCTCGATCGGGTGGGTTGGTAAAGATCATTTGAATTTTGTTAGTAACGAGGATTTAGACTATCATGTGGGTTGGTAAAGATCATTTGAATTTTGTTAGTAACGAGGATTCAGACTATCATGCACGTCACGTCATTACCATAACTACAATAGAAAGAAGTCCAAACATATAAATTAACTTGATATATAAANCGCCTCGATCGGGTGGGTTGGTAAAGATCATTTGAATTTTGTTAGTAACGAGGATTCAGACTACCATGCACGTCATGTCAATACCATAACTACAATAGAAAGAAGTCCAAACATATAAATTAACTTGATATATACATTATGGATGCCAAAAATGATTCATGTTTCTTGATTCATGAATTCTACTTTGTTAGGACGGAGGGCGATTGTATTTGATGGAGATAATAATACCTTCACCACCAAAGACAGTCTCCATTAAAGTTATCATTGCTTAAAAGTGAAATAACAAAAAAAAATAAGGGAATTAAAAATGACTCGATGCGAGTGATTTGAGATAGTAAGGGATCCGTAAATATAATGGGCGACTATTAAAATTGGTCGAAATTGATGAAAAAATAGAAGCACAGATTCCAAATATTCGATTTCATATCAAATGATCTTATCGCNAATGACTCGATGCGAGTGATTTGAGATAGTAAGGGATCCGTAAATATAATGGGCGATTATTAAAATTGGTCGAAATTGATGAAAAAATAGAAGCACAGATTCCAAATATTCGATTTCATATCAAATGATCCTATCACNTAAAAATGACTCGATGCGAGTGATTTGAGATAGTAAGGGATCCGTAAATATAATGGGCGACTATTAAAATTGGTCGAAATTGATGAAAAAATAGAAGCACAGATTCCAAATATTCGATTTCATATCAAATGATCTTATCGCACACATACTTTGTAGATGAGGTGTGATTATAGTTGACAAAGAGTCGTATGTTGTGAAGTCGTGATGTGTTTGTGTTATGAATATTTCATGTCATATCAAACTTTACTCTCATATTTGAATTGTAAGCTTAAGTATCGTATCGGATTTGTGTTTTGCATAAATTTTTCTAATTAAGTTTAGATTGCGTTCAGATAAATTAGCGTTGACCCGTTTAATAAGTGGATCTAACAAAGTTAGCCGGNATTTCATGTCATATCAAACTTTACTCTCATATTTGAATTGTAAGCTTAAGTATCGTGTCGGATTTGTGTTGTGCATAAATTTTTCTAATTAAGTTTAGATTGCGTTCAGATAAATTAGCGTTGGCCCCGTTTAATAAGTGGATCTAACAAAGTTAGCCGGTTTAAAATCCGAATTATTTAAAGCTAAGTAAATTGCCA